GTCTGGAAGAAGTAGTAGTAGTAGTAATAGTAGTAGTAGTAGTAGTAGTAGTAGTAGTGGTAGTGGTAGTAGTAGTAGTAGTAGTAGTAGTAGTAGTAGCAGTAGTAGTAGTTGTTGTAGGAGTGGAGGAGGAGTAGTAGCAGCAGTAGTGGTAGCAATAGTAGTAGTAGTAGTAGTAGTAGTAGTAGTAGTAATGGTAGTAGTAGCAGTAGCAGTAGTAGTAGTAGTAGTAGTAGTAGTAGTAGTAGTAGCAGTAGTAGTAGTAGTAGTAGTAGTAGTAGTAGTAGTAGTAGTGGTAGTAGTAGTAGCCTAGTAGCAGTTGCAGTTGCAGTGTAGCAGTAGCAGAGCAGCAGAAGCCGTAGCAGTAGCAGTAGCAGTAGCAGTAGCAGTAGTAATTAGTAGCAGCAGCAGCAGCAACTCAGTATTTGGGATTCTCGAGGCCTCTTGGACTTGCGAGCCGGGTGTTGCATCTGAAGAATATGAGAGTTTCCAAAAATTAGGGGTACCTTATTTTGGGTCCTTATAGTAAGAATCCTATTATTTGGGGTACTATAGTAGGGTCCCCTATTTTCGGAAACCCCCATATGGCAGTATAGAAGTCGGTGTAATGAACCGTACTTGTTCTACATAGACTCGTATTTAATCCGTATTGCAATATTGCATCTCGGGTTGGGCGCTACAGATCTCGGGCTGGGAGTTGACAGAGGCTCCACCGATCTTCCCCACATTTCCCCACGCTCATCTGTACGGGGACCAGATATCCCGAATACACCGGATGGAGGAGCAAAAACAGACATGGTCAAGTGCTTGGTTCTAGCCTGGACAAACGGTCGAATGCCGGAAAGTCTTGTCGTTCCAGGCCTTAAACTCAGACTGAGTCAGCCGCGCCGTCCTTGAACGGCTTCACGATCTGGTACTTCGTGATATGGGCGCCTGTGGTGGTCATTATGCTCAGTACAGGCTTTCGTTATCATGGTGCTGCCAAAAAACTAAACCCCTCAGCCCTGAACCCTTATTCCTCAACCCCAAGAACCCCTACGCTGAACGTGCGGCCTACTTTGATTCATTAATCCTAAGATTAGGTCATGAGCGCCATGCCACCTATAGTCATAAAGATAGTGGCAAGTAAAAGACGGGAGCTGCCACCGACGCCACTAGCCAAAATGGCAATGGTCATCATCATCGCTGCAAAGAAAGCATCATCACACTAGGGTGAATCACAACGCTGGCTGTGATGATCCTCGGTGTTTGCTCCCGACCCTAAACCCTAAAACCCTAAACCCTAAACCCTAAACCCTAAACCCTAAACCCTAACTGAGACCAGAACTCCGTGAGTCGAATCTAGACCCAAGAGCCACAGCGGAGCGCAGACCAGACTGACGCCGGAGACGAGAAGCATGAATCAGCACTGAGTTGTCTGCGGTAGTATTGATATGCAGTCAGTCTGCGCAAGCATCTCTGTGCTATTGCTGATGATGTTACGCAACATGGACTGTGACTGTGTTATGACTGAGTGTGGCTGAGTGCCGCAAACTCTGGTGATAACTGCTCTTTGACTGTCAACTACCGATCCTAAGTTTAGTTCAGCCCCTAACTACATCTACCGCCTTCTGTGAATGGCCTGTTCTTCGTTTTGTTGGGTACTCTGGCTATCGGTCTTGTACATCTGTCCATCTCTCCACTTACTTGCTATCCATCTGTAAGGATACATTTCTAGATCTGAATGTCATCTCCGGACCCATCGGCACGATGACCTGGACGACTATTTCGCGTTGGAGTTTCAGGAACAAGGAACCCCACCCCGAGACAGAGCCTAGACAGCACTTGGAGGTTCATGGGTAG